TTCAAAGTCAAACCCTGGGTTCATACCTGGACTATTGATCCTTTTTAGGGTAACTTTCCTAGATTTCTATGCAATGCAACTTTGGGCAAAGATATTTTCTGAACCTCTGAAAGGATTATATTAGATAGTCTCTAAGCTGGGAGGGGCTGGGGGCAGGAGGAGAAGGGGATGACAGAGGATCAGATGGTTGGATGGCATCACCAAGTCTACGGACATGGGTTTGGAGTTGGTGATGCACAGGGAGGACGGGCATGCTGTGATTCATGGGGTCACAAAGAGTCAGACACGACTGAGTGACTGCACTGAACTGAAGGAGTCTGGGTTCTAGAACTCTGAAGTTTCCTTGGCAATGATTATTTTAAATATACTGTATCCACTTTTATATACTTGTATTCATCTGAATGTAGAAATGTATTAACCTACTGGCTAAGACTCTATGTAGACACAGAAAAAAGGTAAAGTGAAAGTGAAGTCGCTCAGTTGTGTCTGACTCTTTGCGACCCCATGGACTGTAGCCTACCAGGCTTCTCCATCCATGAGATTTTTCCAGGCAAGAATACTGGAGTGGGTTGCCATTTCCTTCTCCAGGAGATTTTCCCGACCCAGGGATTGAACCTGGGTGTCCCACATTGTAGGCAGATGCTTTACCATCTGAGCCACCAGGGAAGTAAAACATGTTCAAAGGCCCTAAAGTAGAAAAGAAGAAGTATTTGAGGAACTGAAGCAAGTACAAAGTGGTTGGAGTGAAATTAAGAAGTAAAAATGGTGCAAGATGAGGTCAGTGAAGTAGGAAGGGAGGGCCTGGTAGATCAATTAAAGGTTTAGGATTTTCATCCTAAGAGCAGTGGGAAACCTTTGAATGGTTTTAAACGGAAAGTGCTTTGATCCATTCATATTAAAGAAGAAAAGAAAAAGATTACTGTGGCTTTTGTGTGAGAAATGGATTAGAGGAGGGGCAGAGAGAACAAGGAATGATCTGTTTGAAGTGCTTATTACTGCAGTATTGGCTGAGAGGTGATAGATCCTAGGACTAGGGTGGGGCCATTGGGATGGGAAAAAGTACCACAGATTGAAGAAGATATATTTAAAAAAAAAATAAGAGTCACGAATGATTTCTAGGTATCTGGTTTGTGAAGCTGAGTGAATGGCAACACTACTGATGAACAAACAATCCCAGGAGAGCAGTAGCTTTACGTAGGGTCTCATGCTCTTCCATCCTTCCAACAAATTCTGTGAACTCTTTCAGTTCTGTTTTCTTCTGAATTCTACTTGCACAGGATTGTAGCCTCGAAAATGCTGGTCCACTGGTCATTACCACTGATTATTCTTTCTTCAAGGGCTCAGACTGCACAAAAACTGAAGGCATTCACGATATGGAGATTCAAAATCATGAATACATGATTTTGAAACAGTTTTGATCAGCTACAGCTATGCTGGTGAACTGCCTGCAAAGCTCTTAACTGTATGGTGTGGTCAAAACATCCCAAAGATTGTAAATTGTAGAATCAGCACATTCTGCTGCAAAGAAGACAAATTCTAGTGGATTAAGGAGAGTGGGAATGTTGAGAAGGCATTAGGGTGTGTTTAGGGATTGTGATGAGACTGCAAATGGTCATGGTGGTTGTGATTGGAGACAGCGATTTTTGAATTACTGTCTCCAACCACTTTACAGGGAGTTTGGAAGACAGGTAGGTCCAGGGTTCAACCTTGGAAGTAGGTGATCAGAGTGAGAACAAGAGATTGGCAAAGCTATGGATTAGGGTTAGAATTTCATGCAGCAGTACCCTGTTTTTTTTTTTTCCCCCTTTTTTTTCTATATTTTCTTTAATGGAATATTTAGAAAAAATGAAGTAGCTTATTATATCCATTGTAATTACTCATTCACTCAAATCTGAAATAGTCTAATTTTTCTCTATCTTATGTACCAGAATTAAACTGTTTAATACAGAAACTAACAAGTTCGTTGACATCTGAATGGAATTTGCTAAATTTAAACAATAAAGACACATTAGGCTTTTAATAAAAACTGAATGGCTAACTCAGAGAATTGGTTTTGTAATTAGTCATATTTCTAATATCCAAAGGCATTCTCAGTAATATCTCTGAGCTTCAAATTGTATATGAGTTAATAATTAAATATTTGTAAATATTCTAAGTATATATTTGCATACATACTAAATACATCTAAGCTTCAGGGATATATCCTAAATCTGAAGTTTTCTAGGCCCTGAATCCTGGATAAAGGGATATATGATACCATCAATTCTTAGTTGTTCATATTTATATGGAAGAACAGTGATTTCTGAAAATATCTTTAATTTTATACTTGAATATGGAAACTGATAACTTCACTTGTATTAGTAAATTGCAGACTCATAGAGTAAGAATAACTGAACTGGAAAGGAATCTAGAGACAGTTAATCTAGAGAGTTTCACAGTGTGGGTCCCCTGGTCAGCAGCCTCTGTATCACCAGTGAACTTGTTAAAAATGCAAATCTAAGGCCCACTCCAGACCCAGTGAATCAGAAACTACAGCAGAGGGGCAGAGCAATCTGTTTTAACAAGCCTTTTCAGGTGATTTTGATGCATGCTGAAGTTTGAGACCTATTGGTTTAATCCGTATTTCTCTTTTAAAACTGGAATTAAGGAATACCAAAGAAATAAACTGAAATTCACACTATTTAAAAATAAATAGTGGACTTTGAAAGATCCTAACTCAGATTGCTTAAAAGACATCTTTACTGTAACTGCACCTTCTTACTCTTTCATGGGTATTAGTTTTTCACAGCTGCTGTAATAAACTATTAATTTGGCAACTTAGAAATTAATATCTTACAGTTTTGTAGGGTCAGAGGTCCAACATCTATCTCATTGGGTTGAAATCCAGATGTCAGCTTTGCTCCCTGGAAGCTCTAGGGAAGTATTTAGTTTCCTTGCCTTTTCCTACTTTTAGAGGCCATCCATATTCCCAGACTTCTGGCACCTTCTTCCATTTTCAAAGCATGTATGGATTTTAAATTCAAAAATTCTCATGACTGATTGGTTTTGACTTAAAGACTGGTTTTCTGAGTATGAGTTTACATGTAATAAGAGTTGTTTAACCTGATGTTCTGTTGCTTTTACTGTTACTATGTTAAGGGTGCGTAACAGAAAAATGAAAATGTGTTGCAACCATAAAGTAAGAAAATTTCTTTTAAAAAAAAAAAAAATTCTTTCCAAAAGTACATTTTAGTCTGTACAAATGAGTCCAGTCAACCGCATGTGGCTATGATCTACCTGCCTGAGCATGATACTGTCATTGGCACAGACTGTCATAGACCATCACAACTATCATTCAATCTCCTCATGCAACAAAAATAGCAAATGATAACATATTCACTGTATCACTCTTACTAAGTCAGGAAAGGTTATTAGTTCATCTTAGAAAAAGACTTTAAAAGAAGTTTTAAACAAAGTTTTTTTGACTTATACCTTGGCCCCAGGGCAATTAAACTAGTTCATTCCTTGATTGACTCAATCATAGTTTTCCTGTATCATTTTAGTTGATGTTTCATTTTCATGGATATACAGCATACATTTGTGTTTTTTTTTCCCAAGGGAGGAAGGACAGTGAGGGATTTAAGAAAAATGTTCGATTGGAAGACCACACACCAAAAGGAGTTGTGAGTTTCGTGGTGGGACTATGCATAACTTCTTTCCTTTGCTGTATTTTCCAAATATTCGTTAGTGAACATAACATTTCTTTAATTAAAAAAGAAAAGAAAAACGAACATGACAGTCAACTGTAGTCGTAAGGCCTGACGGACCGGTAAGACAGGGGGACGGCTTTTGAAGTTTCAGGCACACAAAAAGACACGATTTTTTTTAATTTTAAATTTACACTGTCATCCAAAGGGTACTGTAGCAACTTCCCTGATGAATTACCTTGAAAACTTTTTTTAACAATTTAGAAGCCTACAAATCACTTTCCACACGTGTGATCGCGCTACCTCACTAGACCTTTTCTCTCCAGTTGGCTATGGTCTAGGCCCGAAGGCCCCCTCAGAGGAATGAACTCAGAGTCCTTCTCAGGCCATCGTGCTGCCGCGGAAGCCGAATGCAGCGCCGGCCGGGCCCGCCAGCGACTCTGGCCCCGGCGTGTGTGGGCCGAGCCGGCGCCGCGCTGGGCCCTCGCCGCCGAGGGCCGGGCGGCGGGCGCCACGCGGCGGGGCTCTGCGCGGCGCCGCAGCCTCTCCGCCCGCGCGAGAGCCCGGGCTCCTGAGGGGGAGCCGCGCTGGGGGCGGCGGCGGCGGCGCGGGGGCGGGAGCCGGGCGGCAGCAGCAGCAACAGCGCCCGTGGGGGAGGAGCGGCGGCGGCGGCTGGAGCTGCTGTGGCGACGGACGCTAGGCGGTGGCAGCGGAGACCCACCCCTGTCCACATGGACAGTCGCAGAGGCCTCGGCTGATGCATTCGCGCCTGGGCGGGGTGGGCGGACGGCTGTAGCGGCGGCGGCGGCACTGGGAGCGGAGGGCCCCCGGGGGCGCCTGTGGGTCGCGGAGACCTCGCCGCCCCGGCGCGGCGGGTGCGGCCATTTTACGGTCCGGGACTGAGGGAAGCGTATCTGTGAGCTCGCCTTCTGCACCCCCCTCTTCCTGCGGGCCCGCAGCTGGGGGAAGCTTCAAGGGCGGCCTGGGCGGGCGGTGGATGGGGAGTCGCGGGCCGAGAGGCACCGGGCCCGGGAAGCGCCGTCGCCGCCGTCGCCGCTCGCGTTCTCCCGGCGGGGCCTGAGCCAGCCCAGGCCGCGGGGCCTCGCCGCCCGCCCGCAGATAGGCCCCGGGAGCCGGCCTGCTTTTGTGTAGGCCCGTCCGGAAGAGGTAGCGTCGCCCGCCTCACGGCCGAGTCGTAGGCCCGCAACCCTGCGGCGGCTACCCTCCTGCGGCGCGGCCCCTCATCCTGGCGAACGCGACGGCGACGGCGGCGCGGGCCATGGATTAAGGCGGCGGCGGCGTGGGAGGAGGAAGATGGCGGCTGGCAAGAGCGACGGCAGCGCCGGGGAGATTACTTTTCTGGAAGGTACGTCTGTTCCTCCCCGTGTCGGGGGTGGGGGTGGGCAGAGACGGGAAAATGTGGGCCCCTGATTCCCGGATATTCGGTGACGGGCGCCGGGTGGGTTCGGGGGGCGGCGGCTCGGGGGCGATGGCGGGGAGGGAAGCTGCTGCGGGGGCGCCGGCTTCGAGTCCGCCCGGGCGAGGGACTCGGCCGGGAGCCGGGAGGCTGTGAGGGGGAGGCGGTGGACCGGGCGCGAGCCGGAGTTTCTGGGCGTCCTCTGAGACTGCTGTCTTTTTTTTTTTTTTTTTTTTGACATTTTTTTGCTTTCTCCGTGCTGGCCTGGGTATGAGAGCCGACTGCGCTCGGCTCTTGTTTGGTGTTTGTGAAAAGTTAAAACTTGCTAAAAGGTTGGATGAAATCGGGGGCCAGACCACTTTGGGAGGGGAGACGTAGTTTCCTGGAGCTTGCTTTAACACCACCCCCCACACCCCCTCAGGCCTTTCTGTTTCGCAGAGCTTCAGGCTTCCTTTTGCAGCCAGCATTCAGATTAGGCCTGGCCCTAAGAAATGTGTTTTGCTGAACGTATTTTAGGAAGTAATGTATCTGAGGAAAGAGAACGAGATACGTAGTATCGATTTGGGGGTCGTCATCTAAGCTAACAGACAAAGCTCGAGTGATTCCATTTTTATTCACTTGTGAGGAAAAGTTAAACATCCGTAGGTGAACTAAGCCAGTGTTAAGAACACCTACATATTATTGTTGGAGATGGTGGTATTGGTAACAGTATTGGCTCTTTGGCCAAATATAAAGATCCCCCGATACAGCTAAATTCGTTGTAGTTGTGGATCAGGAACTCTGATGTTCATTGCTTAATTTGACTGTGGAATCACTGTTTTTGCTGGTAATTGGGTTTATTAATCAGTTCGGGAGAGCAGGTCTGTCTGCTGTGCAGTGATTGTTTAAAAAAGGTTAACTCCTCTGGATAATTTTGCAAAGATGAATTTCACATGGAATATAGGCAGTACTTTAAAAATAATTGGAAACATTTCTGAATTAAGACAGTACAACTTCACTGTGGTACAAGGTCCTCTAAGAGGGTGTCGAAGGATGCTTATGCCGTGTTTACAGTTTTCTTAACTGCATTGGGAACAGTGCCTGGAACACTGTAGGTACTCAGTCCAGTGAACAAATAGGGACCAGTAGAGGTGAGTGGGACCCACTCCAGTTCTTGCCTGGAGAATCCCAGGGACGGGGGAGCCTGGTGGGCTTCCATCTATGGGGTCACACAGAGGGGGACACGACTGAAGTGACTTAGCAGCAGAGGTGAGGGGGAAAAGAAATGTTAATATTCTTCATTCTTCCTTAAAGTATAGCAGAACAAAAAAAATTTTTACCTTGTTATGCAAACCAGCCTTTATTTAAAAATGATGGGTTTTATATGAGATTTGTAGTAAGAAGATGGGGAAAGCTTGTGGGTTTTCTGGCTTCACTTCATATTTCTTCCATTCAGTCTCCGTTCTCATTTGGGCTGATTAGTTACCTGTCAGAGGCTGAGCGTGGTACAGCTTGTGTTACAGGTGGTGCTATGTGATGAACATTGGGAGGATGGAAGGAGCATAAATAAGGCCAACAGTTACAGGGCTGAAGTAAATTTAAAGCTGCAGCTTATTCTAACTTCAAGGTCTATGAATTCCTCTAGTGGAAAAAATTGAATTTCATCACTTCTTTTTCAGCATTTACATAAGCAAGTAAATGGTGCCTTGTTTAGAGTATGAGCGTAAGGGGCTGATATTTAGTACTATTAAATAAGTGGAATGATATTTAGGACTACTTGTATTTTTTATATTTAATTCTTTTGGTTCTCTATGCTTTTAATGATGAGATACTCCAATATAACTTGCCAAATATTCACTCAGCAAATATTTATGTCAGCCTACTCTGTGCTAGGCACTTTTCCAAAGTAAAGACAGCAGTGCATAAGATAGTTAGGGTCCTTTCCTTCATGGGACTTATATTTTAGTAGGAGGGACTTTTTGTAACTAAAAATTAATCCATTTAGAACAGTCTTACCACTTTTTTTTTTTTGCATAGTTTCCTTCTTTATTTAGATCTGCTCAGACCTGACAGCCGACTCAAAATGTCATGCGGCCACACTTACATGTACAAACATGGTATTCCTCTGTTTTATTTTCATGGTAGCACTTTTCACATGATAAATTTGTCTTCATGTTTTTTAGTCCTGTAAAAATAGAAGCTCCATTAAGGCAATAACTTTTTCTTTTCACCGTCATACTTCTTGCACCTGGAGCATCTTTATTTATTGTTAATGAAATAAACAAGAAGATAATAGTGTAGTATAAGGCTGTGGAAGAAATACATAGAAAAAGCCATTTTACATAGTGTTAAGGCCAGGAAAGGCCTTCCTGAGGAGGTCACACCTCAGGTGTTAAGGTAATAACCGTGAGACTAGAGTATGGCAGAGAGGATGATGCCTGTAAAGGTTCTAAGATGATGTAGGATTTCATTTGTTTAAAAAAAGATAATTATGGCTGAAATGTAATAAGCACAGAACACAGTAACAAGCACAGATATGAGAGAGAGCAGATCATGAAAGTTCATGAATTTTTATTTGATTCTGAAAAGTAGGAAATCATTGAAGAGTTTGGGGCAATGGAGTTAATGATACAATTTATCTTTTTAAAAAATCACTTTTCTCCTGGAGTAAATTAGAGCAGAGTAAGAGTAAAAGCAGAGCCATTAGGTAGGAGAATATTGTAGCGGTTTGAAAAATAGAGAGGCTTGTATTAGGATGGTAGCAGTGGCCATCAGGAAAGAGGAGTGGATAGATGGAAGATCTGTTTGAGAACTTCTTAATGCATTGTATATTGAGGATTAGAGAAAAGTAGGGATCAGAGATGACTCCTAGGGTTTTGGTTTGGTGGGGAGTGGGGGGACTCCATTTATTGAGATGGAGTAGAGGAATGAGAAGCTCATAGCTCTGTTTTCGTCATCTTAAGTTTGAGGTGCTGGTTTGTCGTCCATATTCTAAACACTGCTTTACATTCTCACAAACTGTGATGTTAAATACTAATTCCAGTTCTTTCTCTACCTTCACTAGGGAAAAAGAGAGCTACTGGTTACTATTGTGCTTTGTCAGTATAACGCTGAAATGGTGTGAATTGAATTAGGCCACAGCTTGTATTGAATTTTTTTCTTCCCCCTCTTTGATTTGTTCCTTTCTCTTCTGTTCACTTAAGGTTGTCTTCTGCCTCTTTCCCTCTTGTGATAGTTTGGGAGGTTTCTTTTGTTCACTCATTGAGTAGATACTTACTCAGAAACTGTAATGTTGTAGGTGTGTTGAGAGGCACAGTGGAGGCAGGGGAGGTTTCCCGGTGGAGTTTCCAGTCCAGTGAAGAGAGTCAGTAATCAAATAATCATACTTGTAAGTGTAAAATTACAGCTGTCAAGTGCAACAGATGGGGATTATTTGTAATAATGAGAATTTGATCTAACTAGGGCAGTTTGAAGGGTGACTAGGAGAAGGAAAGGTGGAGAGGCAGCTTTCTACCCAGGGCAGTTGTAGTAGAGGAAGCCTGGTATGTTTAGGAAACTGAGAGGACCATGTGGCGCTAGTAAGGAGAATGTTACAAGAGGAGACTGGGGTTAACATCCCAGGTTTGTTTCAAAAAAAGGTCAAGGTGTACCACTTGTAGAATGCTCTAGGGAGGGGCAGAAGAATGTCAGGGAGGTCAGTTACGAGGCTTGCGGTATAGGGCAAAGGTGCTGGTAGTTGGCGCCTTCTCTGTCTTTTGATATTCTCCTTTTCTCACCTCTGGAACCTCTGGCAAATCTAACTCCTCTCTCATTTGTTTCTTTCTTTTTATATATATATAGTGCTCTTGTTCATTCTGTAATAGTTTCTTTCCCTTTATCTTTTTTCTTCTACTAACTAACTGCATAACCAATATTTTCTCCCATATTTTTCTACTTCCCCTTTCATATGTGTGTGTGTCTGTGTGTATTTACTACTTTGTTTTCATTCTGGGCCCGTCTCCCTTTGTGGACTTTGTCTACTAGTTGAAGAGATTGGTCTAAACTACTGCAGTGTTGTCCTCTATCCAGCAAAACTGCTTATGTTTCCAAATGAAAAGTGTTTTCCATTTTCCCTTAATTATACTTTATTTTTACATACAAGTCAAGTTCAGAATCCAATCCATTTGTCATTTTTATGGGGGATAGTAAATACTTCACCCATCTCCTGAACTAAAGTACCATTTCTCCTAAATGATTGGCATTCCATGAATATGAATAGGGGCTTTCCAGGTGGCACTTACTGCAAAATTCAGACTTAAATTGAAGAAAGTAGGGAAAAACCACTAGACCATTCATGTATGACCTAAATCATATCCCTTGTGATTATACAGTGAAAGTGACAAATAGATTCAAAGGATTAGATCTGATAGAGTGCCTGAAGAACTATGGATGGAGGTTCATGAAATTGTACAGGAGGCAGTGATCAAAACCATGTACAAGAAAAAGAAATGCAAAAAGGCAGAATGGTTGTCTGATAAGGCCTTACAAATAGCTGAGAAAAGAAGAGAAGCAAAGGAGAAAAAGAAAGATATACCCATTTGAATGCAGAGTTCCAGAAAGTAGCAAGGAGAGATAAAAAAACCATCCTCAGTGATCAATGCAAAGAAATAGAAGAAAACAATAGAATGGGAAAGACTAAGAGATCTCTTCAAGAAAATTAGAAAAGGGAACATTTCATGCCAAGATGGGCACAATAAAAGACAGAAACGGTATGGACCTCACAAAAGCAGAAGATATTAAGAAGAGGTGGCAAGAATACACAGAAGAACTATACAAAAAGATCTTCATGATCCAGATAACCACCATGGTGTGATCACTCACCTAGAGCCAGACATCCTGGATTGTGAAGTCAAGTGAGCCTTAGGAAGCATCACTTCAAACAAAGCTAGTGGAGGCGATGGAATTCCAGTAGAACTATTTCAAATCCTAAA